TCCCCTCCCCTCCCTTCCTCCCCTCCCTCCGCCGCCGCCGAAGGACGCCGCCGGCGATGGCCCGGGGCTGACGGCGGTGGCGGGGGTCCTCCCTCTTGCCTGCGCCGTGGGGGTGGTGCGGCGCCCCGCGGCATGGGTGGCGCGGCCGATCTAGCCTGGCGGCGCGGCGGCTGCCTCGGCCAAGGGCCGATCTGGCCTGGTGGCGCGGCGGGCCTGCCTTCCGGCGGCGGCGCGGCGGCTGCCTTGGCCAGGGGCGGCGATGGTGGGGTGTGGCAGCCGGTTCGGCCTCGGGCTGCGTGGCGGCGTTCGGCGGCGGCGGCCGGGTCTGCGGCGACACACCATCTGAGCTCGGATCGGCGGTGGCGGCATGGAGGGCCTGGTGGTTGGGTCGGCACCATGCGGGTTGTGCCCTCCGGACAGATCTGATCTGGCCGGTGCGGCCTGCTCGTTGTGCGGCGGCTCAGATCGGCGGCGACCCGTGCACACATTATGTGATGGAGGTTCTTCGAGCAGATCCGGGTGAAAACCTTGTGCTCGGCTTTATGCCATGGCCGGCGTTGGTGACACCCTGTTGTGTCATTACCTTCTTGAAGGCATCGCCGTGAAGAAGCTCTAGACCTCTATCCGCTACCTCCGGGGGAAACCCTAGATCAGTTGATCGGATGACGGCGGCGCTTTGGTGTCGTTTCCTCCTTGGGGGCGTCATTCTTGGAGGCGTACACGGGATCGAGGGACCAGCGGGCGCCTTTTTGGTGGAGCGGTGCTTCATCCTTCACATTGATGACGGCGGATCTCGGCGGCGTGGTGCGGTGGAGACTCGGCGCCCGATGCGCGGTGATGGACTCGCGCAGGTGGAGGTAGTTGTCTGGCGTCAAGGTGGCGTCAATGACGGAGTGACCTCACAAGGTAGAAGCCTCAATATCTGCTCTGAAGACGGACATGTGGAAGATGGCGGCGACGACACATGTGAGTGCGTCAGACCAGTTTATGCCCCAGATCCAGTATGTGGCTTGGATGGGGCTTCTGGCTTTGGATGATAGGATTAGGTGAGTAGTCTGGGTATGTGGCCCAGGTAGCACCCCTGCATCATTTGGATAGGAGTAGTGGCATATGTTGTCAAGATGGCGGATTCAGGCATATTGTTGTAATACTTTGTAAGGTCCTCGAGAATAATCAATAAAGTGGCCGTATGCATCTCCCAGATGCAGAGGCCGGGGGTCATCCTCCTTTTCTAAAAGAAAAACAATCTTCGTTCTTTAACTATCTGGAACTATGATTACAGCTTATTGATGGAAGAATGGTGCCCCACTCCGGTTGGCCTCCAAAAACTTACGACCTGGCGGTCAACCTTTCCACGGGTTCCGGATTGGATGGGTTCCCTCGTCAACCTTCAGCAATTACGGTTTGACCTGGAGAGAGTCAGGTATGAAGATCTCTGCATCCTCGGAGGCTTACCTGCTCTGCTCACTCTGAGCCTAGTAGGAAAAGAAATGTCTGAAGGGAAGCTCATTGTTAGTGGTGAAATGGGATTCCCAATGTTGAGGGATTTCACTTACGGCATGTACCCTGGGTTAGGGATAAAGATGATTTTTGAAGCAGGATCCATGCCCAAGCTAGAAAAGCTCAGGATTGATTTCACCCCAGCAACGAATGAATATCTCTTCAGTACCGGTGGTCTAACTGGTAGTGGTCCTTTTGATTTCGGAATCGAGAACCTCCCCAGCAGTCTCACGACCGTCGTATGTGAATGTAAGTCATTTGATGGAGATTGCACTCTTGAAGCCACAAGGGCGGCCCTGGAGAGAGCAGTCAGCACACACCCCAGCCGCCCTGCTCTGGACTTCAACATCTACTAGCTAAAATAGGCCTCTTCATTCAGGTACATAGTAGCTAATTCTTTCTTCCCTAACATTTTATATCACTCCCTACATTGATAGCTCTCCTTTGTTGCCTGCCCCAAATTTTTCCTTCAAGTGTTGTATTAATTACCAAGTGGCCGTTATTTTTCCTTCATATTTCTTTTTATTTTTTCATCCTCTTTTGCTCGTTGTTGACAAGCTAGAAATCAAGGAAACACTCCTTTATGAACAGTTTCTCAAACTAAACAGCTTATAAGCTCTTATCGGTTTGAAACAGTTTAGACAGTTTAGTTTTAACTTACCATGCATTACTTGTGATCACTCCTGAATTCTAATGGTACGTTTCAATCATTTTCAGTGCCACTCTCTGGATTCTTCAGTATCAGTAGAGTGAACGATCCAAGAATCAGGATTCAGGAACATCACCAACAAGAGGCTGTAGCTTAAAAAATGTATAGTTTCTTTCTCACTGGACAACTAGTAGTTCATATGTCACTCAGGATGCCACAATTATTCAGTGAAATGATATAAATTCCTATTTCTGAATCAACCATCCAAAAGTATTTTCTTTTCTTCCAAATAGTGATACTTTTGCTAGTTATGCAATTCCCTTCCCATTAATAGCATCAGCAGGAAACCCACCGCACACCATTTGTTTCGAACGGTGGCTATGGGATGAAAACTTATTGGCACAGCTATAACTATAATAGTAAGATTATCTCTAAATGCTAGGAGTTTTAGCGCAAGCTGCAAAGTAACAGAGACCACACAACAAGCTAAAACTGAACCGCAATGGACGAAGGCCATGTACCAGCAAGTCTGAGGCACGTACCGCATATCCCCAGAACGATAGCATCGCACCTGTAGTCTGCAGTCTCAGAACTCATCACCATCGCTCCTTCATTCAGAAGTTTGTGAGCCCCTTTCACACAGAGCATGCTTATCTGTACCTGACTGCATGTCTGACTAATACATCAGCATCTCTTGCACCTGTAGTCTGAACATTCATCACCGTCATAACTTGATTCAGAAGCTTATTTGCACCTTTAAGAAGCGCATCCTTGGCTGCAACTGGCAACATGTCAGCTCAGTACATCAGCTTATCTGTACCTGACTGCATGTCTGCCTAATACATCAACATCTCTTGCACCTGTAGTCTGAGCATTCATCACCGTCATAACTTGATTCAGAAGCTTATTTGCACCTTCACGAAGCGCATCCTTGGCTGCAACCGGTAACATGTCCGCTCAGTACATCAGCACAGCACATAAGTGAACATGATCACAAAAGGGACTTCACAAGCTAATGTAGAACTTATTTGTAAAAGCAAGTAGTACTGTACGGTACTTAGGGCCAGTAAGCTTATTTCCACAGTAAGCTGCTAGAAGCCTCAAAAGAACTCAGTTTAGGGAGAAGCCCATTAGAACTTATGAAACCCATGAGAAATTCCTTCTCGGTGCCTATTTATCACATCCATGTTAAGAGCAACTAGCAGGACTACCAAGGAAATAAAGCTCAAATTTTCCTTTCGTTCAGGAAATATATGTAGCCAACAAATATGCAATGACATGGCAAAAAGAAAGGTTTGGAATTTGAAGAACTCGTAGTCAGAGTCTGATTGAGGAGAAGAAAAAAACTGTGCGTTGTTTCAGTAGCAGTAGTAACTAGATTTGTTGGCACTTGGCAGTCTAGCTACATGAGACGACAAACCAAATATACTGCTGACAAAGAACAAATGCATTCGCTGTAAAACTGGTCCGTAAATAACATGAGCAAAATCACAATAAAATGAGTATTACTGGAATCTCAAATTATTCTCGATGTACTGCTGGACAATAATTCAATCAGACAGATCTAATTTTTTTCAAAATATTGTAATCAGACAACCCACTCAAAGCTTGAACGAAGAAAATGTAGCAGTACAGATTTGATACTTACTCCCTCTGTAAAGAAATATAAGAGCGTTTAGATCACTACTTTAGTTATCTAAACACTCTTATATTTCTTTATGGAGGGAGTATTTATTAAAGGGAAAGAGCCAACCTTGTTTACATATCTTTCAGGTACCCACTAAGAAAAGAAATTTTATATGATCTTTATTCATTTCATAAAACAGAAAAAATGATAACTTATCAAATGACTCAGTGAATACTGATGTGAAGATAAGTTAGTCACTGGATTTAGACATGCTTATACATCATGTCATTTAGGCTAAAGAATGACATCTGCAAAAAAGCTAGCTGTCATTGTTTTTTTCATGTGGTTACAATTCTCCTAGTGAATTATTATATTGAGGTATTTTAAATAATGAACAATAATGGAGTTCAGACTACAGGACAGAATCATATGAAGAACATAAGCATAACTACCCACTTGAAAAAGTGCCAAATTAAAGAAGTAATGCTGATATATGGTCTACATTTCAGAATATATGTTATAATACATCATGTCTTAACATATTTATCACGTCAATTTTCATTATGATTAAAATTCTAAGTGGTGATGGAACACTGGTTCTTCGAGGACCACATGTATCCATTTGAATGTAAAAGATATATGGAATATAGATACAGAAGTCAGCTTACTGCTAACAACTTCAGTGAGTGAACAGGCACAACAATTTGTATCTATATTCAAGACTGACAAAACTAATAAAAACTGTACTTAATTGTGGCGAAATGTGCAGCTCCATGGAAGTAGTAGTCAGCCATATAGATGAAACACAGATAGTCGATCATCAAAATGGTTCCAGTCAGGCGTTTACTACTAGTCAAAGTTTCTCCTGGACTTACTACTAAGAGAAGTGACCAACATGACATTCATTACATTACAAAAGGAAAAGGTTGGGAAAGCAAACCTGCAAACAAATGTTCTTCCCTCGATTAGCTAAAATCACTAGAAAAGGTTTCAACCAGTTCCCTATTCCAGAAAAGAATAATATTTTTTAGGAGAAATCTCTGATACTGCTGACATTTCCCCCTGAAGTAAGTGCAGTCAACAAGCCAGCTGCGGAAGCTTCAAGGGTGAAGCTCCTCTCATCAATTTCCCCACTGGGCACCTCCTCTTTTTGAAGTAACATTCTAACGATGGCATTTAACATACGGGAGTCGGCAGCAAACCATTCTTGCAGAGATCCTTCTTCTAAAAGCTTTGTATCATTAATCTATACGTAACAGCATCGAGCACAAATCCTTTGGCCGAGATTCCATCCAACAAACCTGTGGCTTCTTCCTTCCTGCCAACTTTAAGCAACGCACTAATCATAATATTATAAGTCCTGATCTCAAGTTGATAATTTGTTGAACACAGGTTTTGAAACATTCTTAGTGCTTCATCCACACAGTTATTTCTACACAAACCACTGAGAATTATGTTGTAGGTCACAATATCCACACATATTCCGCTGTCAATCATCCTGAGATAGAGTTCATTTGCAGCAACAGTCCTTCCAGTATGAAATAACCCATGCAACACTGTGTTATAAGTGATAACACAAGGCTTAACTTTTTTGTCCAGCATTTCACTGAAAATAGCTAACGCATCATCTATCATTCCATTCTTAAAGTAACCATCAATCAGTGTGTTATAGGTGACAACATCTGGTTCCATGCCAATTGAGACCATATGGTCAAGTAACTTCCTCACTTCATCCATCTTACCAATGAAAAAGTATCCACCCATCAGTGTGTTATAAGTATGCATGTCAGGCTTCAAACCCATGTGTATCATCAGGTCAGCGAGATCTTGGGATTCCATAACCCTTCCATTTTTGCAAAGGTGATCCATAATTGTGTTGAAGAACACGTTGTCGGGATAGATGCCACGATTCAACATTTCAGCAAGTAGTTCATGAACCTTCTCCCATTTTCCACAAGAACAAAAACCACTTATAAGAGTGTTGAAAACTATGATATCAGGAGCTAATTCTTCAGTTATCATTTGATTGAATTGCAACATAGCATCATCCATTCGGCCAATACTGCAAAGTAAGTTTATTACTGTTCCATAGCTCGCAGCATTTGGGTTCAATCCTTGCTGCCGCATTTTTGTAAATATATGCATTACCTCATCAAACATTTTCCCCTTAGCATATGCAACTATCAGTATGTTGTACACAGAATGATTTGGTGCAATACCATTTTCTACCATCAATTCAATGAGACAATGCATATCATGGACTGACTGTTCCATAGCATATGCATGAAGCAGAATACTGTAGCTAGTAACATTCGGTTTTTGGTCCTTACCGGCCATAGAATCAAAAATAGTTCTAGCTCCCGCAAATCTTCTACTCTTGCAAAGATAATCCATCTGTATGGTGTAAGTTGCAATATCTGGCTGAACACCATTCCTAGACATTTTCTTGAAAATATGAGCCACCTGTTCGCACTGTCCTGATGAATAATATCCGTGTATCAGACTATTATATGTAGTAATATTTGGCAGAATACCTGTATCAAACATCTGTTGAAGGACCTCCTCGGCCTCATCCATTGCTTGAACCTTGCACATGCCAGAGATGATTGAGCTATACGTCACAACATCGGTGAAATCCCCTGATGTATCATTTCACAAAGTAAGCTGTAAGCTTTGTTCACCTCACCCTCTTTCAACAGGCCATCAACTACAGTGCTATAGGACACCACATTAGGCTGACAGCTACCTCCAGCATCAACCATCATGTGAATAAGCTCAAGAGCCTCTTGTCTCAACACAGAGACCTTTGAGAAGAATGCTATAGGAGAAAACATTCGGTGTGCAGTTAAAATCGGGCATTCTTCGAAGTGCGATGTCCATTGCATAGCTGGTCTTGTTCTCCGCGCAGACGCCCCTGAGTAGGTGGTGATAGACCCACTTGGATCGTGTAGGCTAGATCAATCCGGTAACCTACCTTCTGCCTTCCCTTGCGAGCTTGAAACAGCAGCCATGGTGATGTTGTGGCGGCTGTGATGGCAGTGAGATGGCGGCGGTGGTGTGCTTCCCGTGAGCACCGCGCTAACCCTAGATCGGTAGGGAGTGGCGGTGGGGTTTGTGGCAGCGATTAACCTCGTGAAACGTGCCTCGGCCCCCCACCTCTGTTTATATATAGCGCGGGTCACAGGGGGCCACCAACCATGGTTTGGTTGGGTGCCCCCGATCAGGGCGCGAGTCAAGGACCCGTCGAGCCGTTGGGCTCGATCGGGAGGAGATCAACCTAACATTCTCCCCCTTGATCTCAACTTTACTTTTAACTTTATACTTTCTAGTTTATTTGTTTCATCACATGTTGGTACATAGAGCATGTTTCATCGTCACAACTTAATTGCCGTTACAATCATACAGCTACAACATACGTTATGTTCAGAAGCAAATTCTGTTCCTTTTGGGTCTATCCAGAAATCATAAGGCTTTCCCTTAAACCCATGCCGGCTAAGTGTTCCTTGAACACATTGGGTGGTAAGCCTTTCGTTAGCGGATCCGCAAGCATATCCTTTGTCCTTATATGCTCGAGACTTATAGTTTGATTCTGGATTTTATCTTTCACAACATAATACCTTATCTCTATTGTTTTGGCAGCATTACTCGACTTGTTGTTGTGAGCGTAAAATACTGCGGGTTTGTAACGCCCCAAGACCGGAGCTTCAGATGCCTTTCAGGGTTTCCGGGTTTCGTCGTGTGATTTGTTTGGTTCGTTGCATCATGTGCATTGCATCATGTCATCACGCCATCATCTCATAAATCTTTTGCAACTCAACTAAATAAATTGCATGGATCTTCGGTCCATTTAAATCGAGGGAATTCACATGGTAATTCTCTTTATAACATATCCTCCCAATATTATGGAGCTAAATAAAAATATTCCATTCGTTTGGATTCACCGCAAACACACTTGCAAAATATCCCAATGCCTTTGTTATCTTAATTCTCGGTCTCCAACATGGCCATAAATTTATTTCATCATATTTCGGAGCTCTCCCAAAAATCCGAACATTTTTGGACACCTTCATTTCCTAGCCCTTGTTCAAACCTTTTGGATTAAATTCAAATGATTTTGAATTTAAATCTTGCATTCTTTCCCACTCCATTTTTCTGGGTTTAAGCTCATTTTTATGAGACCGGGAGAAATTACCCCATGCATAAATCTTTTCCTAACCTCTCCTTTTTTTCTCTCTTTTCTTTTCTGCAAAAGGAACATGAGGGAGAGAGAGAGCATGCACTGCTGGCCATTTGGGCCTCCCACCAAGCTGGCCCACCCAGGCCATCGTTCCCCACAAGCCCATTAGCCAGGCCGGCCCCTCCTGCTTCATGGCCTGCTAGGCCCAGCTGCCTCCCACTAGTGCCTGCAACCCTAGGCCCGACTGAACCCCACTCCCCTCGATTGCTCGTTCCCTCGTTCCCTCACCGCCGCCAGAAGCCATCTCCCTCTCTCGACCTCCTCCTTCCCTCGATCTCTCTCTCTCGTGCCCGACCCCCATCTTTCCCTCGCAGCCCGATCCCCATCCCCAGCTGCTCGAACCCCCTCTCGATCTCCCTCCGGCTCCCCTCATCCTCCCTCCTCCTTCGATCCAGGGAACCAGGTCGGAGCCACGTCGGCCTCCTCGCCGCCGTCGCGCCCACAGGGCCATCAGCATGCGCGAGCCCACACCCCCGCCTCCTTCTCCCACCAGTGTCGCCGCCTTCCCCACTCCGGTGAGGCCGCCGCCCGCCGACGTCAAGCACTACCCATCCCGGCCTTCTCCTTGCTGCTCTCGGCGTAGGCCGCTGGCCCCAGTCGTCATGGAGCCGGCCACCAGAGCCTCCAAGCCAGCAAGCCCCTTCCTCATCTGGCCTCCTCTGCTTCTCCTCGTGCTCGAGCTGCACCGTGTCATGCCACTCGGTGCCCTGCTCCGTACCTCGACCTCGTCCAGCGATCTTGCCTCCACCGCGTCGTCCCTCCTTCTCCTGCTCGCCTCCCTTGGTGCACCCCCTGTCCGGCGAGCCCAGGCCGCCGCCGCGCATGTCTTGCCTCCTCCGCGCCCTGTTCCCTCCTACCGTCGAGCGTTGCCACTCTTTCGTAGCCGGTCCTCCACATTTGGCCAACGGGCCACGACTTCTTCATTCTGAATTGCTCGTCTCTGTTTTGCTGCCAAGTACATGCTTCACCACCGAACCAGAACGCAAGTACCACTACAAACTCGAAGAATTCAAATGCATCAAGTCCCTGAGGAGACCCGCTTTCGTCAAGTTCGACTACCCGTATCATCAAGAACCACTACGGCCGGAGACCTCAGACCCGTCAAGTATCCCTTCGAGCTATCAATACCGCAAACGCCAAGTTCCACGACGACCAAAGTACCGCGAGAACGTTTGTACCTCTACTGTCACCTTTGGAATCGCGAAGACCGTCTAGCACCCCTTTGAGATGACGAGACCGACAAGTTCAAATGACCCCAAGTACCTCTCCGAAAATGAGATGTATACCGCTACCGTCGCAAGAATCGAGACCGACAAGTCCGAAGATGCAAGTACCACTCCGAACCATGTACGACGACCGTCACCAAAGACCCGTGTAACGCAAACGTCAAGTTCAACTACCGTTGCGTGAACCGCTACTTTCCACGACGACCCCGTGAACAACTACTTCCCCTTCGACACGTGTACCCCTACCGCTTGACCCGAACCTCTCCGATAACGCACGCTTCGAAGGTATAACCCCGAGACGACCTCCATGAACGAATGCATGTGTGATGTATGAGATGCTCGTGCTTGCACCGTGCTCGATTTGTCGGTGCACGTTGCCCTCTTTTACCTTGTCACCGTCATGTGGGAACCCAGTAACCGGGAGCACCCCCCCTTCTATCGCATGTCACGCTCCCGTCGCACTTTCTTTGCACCGAGATCTCAATCGAGTTACTGGAACCGGAACGTTGCCGTGGCACCATTTCGTTATTGTTGCCGTGGCTCCCCTTTTCATTTCCGCCACGTTGACAAATGCTTCTTAATATGCCCTTGTCAACTTTTCTTAAAATTGCATAAAACTTGCACATGTCATCCGCATCATGATAACAACTTCAAGATTGGTTAAAATGTTGGGGAACGCAGCAGAAATTCAAAATTTTCTACGCATCACCAAGATCAATCTATGGAGTAATCTAGCAACGAGGGGAAGGAGAGTGCATCTACATACCCTTGTAGATCGCTAAGCGGAAGCGTTCAAGTGAACGGGGTTGATGGAGTCGTACTCGTCGTGATCCAAATCACCGATGATCCTAGTGCCGAACGGACGACACCTCCGTGTTCAACACACGTACAGCCCGGTGACGTCTCCTACGCCTTGATCCAGCAAGGGGAGAAGGAGAGGTTGGGGAAGACTCCATCCAGCAGCAACACGACGATGTGGTGGTGGTGGAGCGTGGTACTCCAGCAGGGCTTCGCCAAGCACCGCAAGAGACGAGGAGGGAGAGGGGTAGGGCTGCGCCAAGAAGGAGATTGAATCGTGTCTATGGCAGCCCAAAACCTCAAGTATATATAGGGGGAGGGGAGGGGCTGCGCCCCCACCTAGGTTTCCACCCCTAGGGGTGGCGGCCAGCCTAGATCCCATCTAGGGGGGCGGCCAAGGGGGGAGAGAGGGGGGCGCACCACTAGGTGGGCCTTAGGCCCATCTGAGCCTAGGGTTTGCCCCCTTCCACTCTCCCTTGCGCCTTGGGCCTTGGTGGGGGGGGGGGCGCACCAGCCCACCTGGGGCTGGTCCCCTCCCACACTTGGCCCATGCAGCCCTCCGGGGCTGGTGGCCCCACTTGGTGGACCACCGGGACCCTCCCGGTGGTCCCGGTACATTACCGATAAACCCGAAACTTTTCCGGCGACCAGAACATGACTTCCCATATATAAATCTTTACCTCCGGACCATTCCGGAACTCCTCATGATGTCCGGGATCTCATATGGGACTCCGAACAACATTCGGTAACCACGTATATCTATTCCCTATAACCCTAGCGTCATCGAACCTTAAGTGTGTAGACCCTACGGGTTCGGGAAACATGCAGACATGACCGAGACACCTCTCCGGTCAATAACCAACAGCGGGATCTGGATACCCATGCTAGTTCCCACATGCTCCACGATGATCTCATCGGATGAACCACGATGTCAAGGACTTAATCAATCCCGTATACAATTCCCTTTGTCTATCGGTACGATACTTGCCCGAGATTCGATCGTCGGTATCCCGATACCTTGTTCAATCTCGTTACCGGCAAGTCTCTTTACTCGTTCCATAACACATCATCCCGTGATCAACTCCTTGATCACATTGTGCACATTATGATGATGTCCTACCGAGTGGGCCCAGAGATACCTCTCCGTTTACACGGAGTGACAAATCCCAGTCTCGATTCGTGCCAACCCAACAGACACTTTCGGAGATACCTGTAGTGTACCTTTATAGCCACCCAGTTACATTGTGACGTTTGGCACACCCAAAGCACTCCTACGGTATCCGGGAGTTGCACAATCTCATGGTCTAAGGAAATGATACTTGACATTAGAAAAG